AATCGTATTATCTTCTTTTCTCCCATTTTTTTTTTTTTTTTTTTTTCATTTGCTTCGTTTCTTCTTCTATTTTTTTTTTACGTTTTCCTTCTCTCTTTCTCTCTCGCTCTTATACTCTTTCCTCATCTACTCTCTCATTCGCAACGCGAGCAATTAATAAGAATCAACAATTTACTTCAATAAATCTTCAAAAGTTCCTACCTCACCAATAAATCACTTTCGCTATTATTTATCGACATTATCGTTACAATATAATATTCTATATATATATACGTATATATATATTTATATATAATATATAACTATATAACTGTACAGACGGGACTTATTTGCGTTCCCAATTTTGTCCTCCGACAATGTAATAACTCGATCGTTATACCACAGTGTCATTGGCCTTGATTTTCTCGACTAATTATAAATCCGCAAGAGCACGTCATTGATGTCACGTAGCGTCACGTGGATCAAACTAGAGCAATAAAAAAAAAGATTCAACAGTACAACAATAAAAAAAAAAGAATATAACTAGCACGATAATACTATTGAGATCAGAAATAATAATATTAGAGTCACTCGTCTCAAAATATTAGATACAAATTACGTATCCTTGGTACCACGATAAACGGAAATTAAATTGGCGACCAAATTACATTTTTTTTCCATGCGCAAAACGTCAAACGTTCCACACGTAACACCTACGACGTGACCGGTATAAACTTTTTTTAGTCGTTTCTTCATTAATTAATTTTTTTTTCGCATAGACTTTTGGCAGTTGTAGCCTGGACGTATCGTTGTCCAAAATATAACATAAGCATCATATGAGTCTTATTGCTGAGCAGTACCGTCAAAATGGCCCAGTCTTGTTCATGAGTGTAAAATTTGAAAGATTTCAAGCGAAGGAGACAAATTTCCAAAATAGAGTACAGAGAGGTGGAAAAAAGACAAAAAATTGCAGAAACAAATATACAATTAAAAAGATAGGATACAATTTTTTAAATAAAAAAAGCATCAGTGGACACTAGGAGAGAGAAGAGAAAAAAAATAGAATACAAGAAGGAAAGAACAAAGAGTAACAGATAGGTAAATTATCTTGCACGATGATTCCCACAAATAAAATAAGACATGCACACCTATACGCTGTCTGCGAGATCCTACGGGGGGGAAAAAATCGAAGTAAAAGTCTAAAATTAAAATTACGAGCAGAGAGCGCGCACCGGAAGTGCTACTAGTCGATCTTTCACGTAGCAATCACCAAGGTCCGTGTGATGCGTGCGGACTTGACAAATCATAAGATTAAACGCGAATCGCAAGTGTCCTGCGATATTTGCAAAAAAAAAGTGAGGGCACGAGTGCCGTTACCCTGGCAATAAAAAAAAATTATACCACCGCTAGTAGCGCGATAATCCATTTCCTCCAGGGTAGACGCGACATAAGGACTGGCCCACGCATTACTGTTAGTATTTTAGACGGCAAGTACAAAATCAAAAGTACTTTTGTATTTAGCCTGTTGGTAGAATTGAATTTTTAATAAAGGTCGTAAAGAGTCATAACGATATTATATGCATTACCACAGGACCGTGTTATACTTAAAATGTATATAATATGTATTATCACTTGGTGACCTGCTCTATTATTTCTGTCTCTCGTCAGCTTTCTTGTTATATCACAGCTGGGGCGAAGGTGAGGCGGTGCAGAAGTTGTGGGGTGGCGGGGCAGCGACGACGTGGTGGGGATAATATGGGTTAACTGGGGCATCAAAGGAACATAAACTCTGTGCCCCGTCCTTAAACCAAATACAGAGAACGGACCCCCATTTTCATTTATTCCATGTAATCCCACCATTCCTTCTCGTAACCCTCGTGCACATGCTCCAGAAGTACTTTCCGCCGACTGTCGCAGTATCTTTAAGTAGAGAATTGAAAAAAAAAGGATATCGTTATCATCGATAAAATTATTTGCGATTGCGCGTGGGTATACGCGGCTTTAGTAAATAATTGGGAGGAATATAAATTCTTGTTCAGTGGTGCCAGTAAATATGAAAATAAAAGATTATCGACTCACCTGTACTTGTCCTGAACTTTCTGCTTAATGTCGGCCAGATTCTCACTGGTGATGTCCCTCTCCAGGTACTCCGAGAGGCATTCCGTGGCGCTCTCCAGATCCTTCTGGTTGTCCTCGAAGATCACAGACTGATTGTTCTTTCGTAAATAATAAGCGAACACGTAGGTGTACATGAGTGTTTGCCTGCAGGAACAAAGGATGTCCACGGCTTTTTTTAAGAATTGCACCTACAACGAGAAGGGAAGTGAGATAATCTTGAAATAAAAAACATCGAACAAGGAGGGCCGAGGGAGAATTTGTGCTTAAGAAACTGTCAAAATAGAGTTCAAGGACCTGATTAAAAGGTATTAATAAAATGTCACTTACCTCGATCCAGGACATATTATGCTGCTGCATCTCCTCCATCTTCTCCTTGACACTCGCGTACAGCTTACTCTCAAACTTGAGGGACTGCATGTGATTCATGTATCGGTTGCAGTAGAACAAGTATCTCTGAAGTGCTGATCTTGACTTTTCCTGAGCATTGCGTGCTGCCTTAGCCTCCTCCTCGTCGTACCTGTTGCAATTGTACCAGCTGGATCCGTGCGGCTCCCAAGGACCGAGACAGACCCAGCAGAAGTCGGACTTGCAGTTCTGATTCTTGCAGACCATGTGATTGCAGCCGCCATCCTTCTCGATGGTGACGTTGCACTTGGGGCATTCCTTCGTATTAGCCGCAATCCAGTTGGACGTCTCGGAGTCGTCGTCGCACTTCTTTATCCATTTGCGCAACATATGACACTTCACGGGATCGTGCCAGTTCTCGCCGCAGTGGAAACAAAACGTGTGGCCGCATTTACATGTGACCGGCCGCGGTTCCACGTACTGCACTTTTATCGCGTTGTTGCAATCCGGGGATGGACACCACCTTAACAACCTGTTACACTGCGCAGTAAAAACAATGAATTTTAAGAACGGTAGTCAAACTATGGACGGATTTAGATTAATTGTGCGAATGAGATAGCGGGGAGGGAAAAGGGTGGTTACTGTACTTTATTGACGCGTTTAACAGATTTTCACTTGGAGCGTGAAATGGCAGAAGGAAATTAGGATCGATGAAGTTCTTTTTGCGAGAGCGAAGAGTTATAGTGACGCCATTATGACGATTTTTGGTAATTGCACAAAGTTGAATTTTTGCGAACGTACTTCGACAAAACTATTTGTGATGAGGTGCTGGTACTTCAGTTTGACCTTAGAATCCTTTACAAGTCGCATCACACTCGCATCGTCCACGAGAATGTCGCATGCGTGTGCTGCACAAGCGATTGTCTGCCCGACGCCTTCCTCCATTATTTTTGTAGTTAGATACTCGCCCCAGCAGCCGGTGCAAAAACGATGACCGCATTCGAGACCGGTCATCATCTGTATATGCGCGATATCGGTAGTACTACATTACTTTGCTGCTTCTCCAAGAAGCAATATTTTTTTAAACAATTTTTGGAAAAGTTCCTCTTACCGAGGATGGCAGGATCATGAAGCAGATACCGCATTCCTCTGTGCCGTTTGTTGACGTTCTCCTAGACTGTTGAGGACAGTAACAGAAAACAATTTGTATTAGAATGTGAATTCTTTTAGAGTATTTTGTGACATATTTCATGTAGCAAATTTTACTTTACCAAGGCTGTTTGTGATGTTCGTGTTCTGTTGATGAGCGGACCTTTTCTAAAGGGATTAATTACACGAGCCTCGGCAAACAATTTTTCTTGATCACCATCGTAAAATCGTTCCATTAGCTTCTCTTTATCCCACTTGAAGTGATTTAATAGGATTCGCGTTGTTGTTGCTGGTATCTGCAAGAAGGCGTAATACATTCATTTTTTTTCATGGTCTTAATAATGTGAGTCATACTGGTTTTTAAATGATTTAATTTAATTAAATTTACTAAATGACTTAGGTACGAGTCCGATCGGGGTTGCTATGACACGAAAATTATTTACGGTATATTCAAGGAGGTTCTCCAGGCTTTAAATACATTTCTCAAGGTCTTTGTACAAAATAGCATATAAAACCTAAGACAGTGTTCTCAGAGTTTGCATTTGTTTCGCTAATATTTTTTTTAGTTTAAAATGTTATTAGCAATAGAATCCATATAATACTCTAATTAAAATGCTAAACAAAGTTTAATTTTCATCTGTGATAAATAGAGTTGATAGATAGTTGTTTTTAAGATTGCAGATCTCAGATTAGATATGACAAGGGATCAATGTACATACATCGTCATTCCAGACATAAGCATTAATAACAAAGGCTATAGTTAAACAAAGGAAAAATACAAGTTATAACTTTATACTTATTTGCAGCTACGTTATTGATGTTCTTTTGAGAATAGAAAATAAAATAATTATTTAAGATGAAACTTGGAAGGTGAAGTAAACAATGTCCTTTCTTTGTCGAGATACAAGTGCATCACAATGTATGTCAAGATGACACATAAGCATGTACATTATATCAACAGTAAAATAAAAATAGACACACAATGAAAGTATTTAAAATGTAAAGCCACTATATATTTGATTAACGGTCAACTGTAACTACTGATCCTTAACCTTGAATAAAAATAAAATGCATATCCTTTACCTCTACCACAGTGTTGACCTCCTTTATTGAATCCACCATGTGCTGTACAATTTCCTCAGTCGAAAGAACTTCAAATGGATAGTCATCAACATCTGTAGCTCGTTCACGTGGATTTCCAGATTCAATCTCCATTGCAAAATCAACATCATCCCCGCTGGACTCATTACCCGAGTCAACGTCATCGTACAACGTTTCTTCTTCGGAGTCCATGTTCCAGATATTTCGGTAACTAGCTTGGGCTCACACTCCTCTGTTAAAGTCACCAGGCGTTTAAGCCTTGCTCCTGCTCCCTAGTACAACTACGCAGCAAAGACAAGGGGAAGCTGCCCTTGAGACTGTGCTCAAGCTCCGAAGGCACTGTTAGCAACATACAACTTAGTTAACAATGTCCACTAGAAGCCTGCACGAGCAATATAACCGTGATGACGTTTACGTCGAGGTCACTGGCCAACCTTTAAACAATACAGTTCGTACACTATGAAGCAATATACATTCTCAAACAAGGGATGATCCTGGTTGCACCTGCACAGCCAAAGTGTTTCAGAACATGACGTCACAGCTTTCTACTACTTGACGAACGCGTATTCACCAAAATATTTAGCTCTACGTCTCCAAAATGACGAAACTTCGAAATCACGACTACGAAGCGTTCACAATTCTTCCCCGAGGAAGAAAAAAAACTTTTAAAAAATACGTAAGAAAGCACAGAAATCAGCTGCCAAAACACCTAGCGTATCTTCGGCAGCTGATACACTGAATCGTTGAACTCACGGAGAGAAGGGCAATGGGGGCCGTGAGTCCGAGCCAATCAGATGCTAGTATTAAACACGATTAACCAATCGCAGAGCAGACCTTTCGGAATGACGTTTAGTATTGTTCACGGCTTAGCTGCCCTCACGGTCATATGAAAACTTAACCTCGTAACGTACATACGACACTGATTGTTCAATGACATTTGCTTAAATAAAATGAATAATTATTCTATTGTTACAATAATTCAGAAACTGATTAAAGACATTAAAACGCTAAAATGTAATAATAATACAATATACCAATCCCCAAGACAAAGCATCCATAGCACAGTCTAATATTTTGCATTACAAGTAAAAAAAATGTGTCGATATCACAATTTCTATTCTTACCAATTTGCTCACCCTCTTTCGCAGTGATAATTGACGAGAAGTTTCTATTCGCGTTGAGTTTATTATGCGTATTAGAAAATACTGAAATCAGCTGCTTAACCCCAGGCGCTATCTCCGTCAGCTAATTGTAAACAGCTGAATTGACGGTGCAACTGTGAATTCACGTTATATCGAAAATAATTTTATCCCTGTTAAATATATTTAAGCGCGTGGATGAAATCGAAACTCGAAAAAATTCACTCGCGAATAATCACTGCCAAGACGGTTAACTTGAGATAACTAAAAGAAATACAGAGAGATAAGGATGAAAAGCTAATATCGCGCTCACCTCCGTTACACCAGATCAATCGCGTCTAATGAAACGACGTTAAATTACGATATCACCTTTATCCCCAACCAACCACAACAAACTTTCTTTAGCGAAAGTAACGTTTCAAAATCGACTGACTGTGGAAAATAAAAAAAAACGAGAAAATGGAAGCCGCGCAACTTAACGGTAATTCACGCGAAATTGAGTTAATAATTTATAGGAAGCCAGAAATAAACCTTGTTGAGAAAAACAAAGAAAAATGTCAGTTTCATACCAATAAAATTTGGTGACAATCGAAGGAATTTTCAAGTCGAAATATTTATGCACTCCATAACTTTCTCTTTGCGATTCATCAAGACTCTCTCTCTACTCTCAGTTCCGTTTTAGCGTCGTCGACTGGTCACGGTAATTCTGCACCGATTTGATAGCTCATGGAAAATAACAAGTCAAAAAAACTGGAACGCACCATTTGCCATGAGAGCATGGACGAGCTCATAGCTCGGCCACTGCTGTCACGTCCACCATAGTAGAGCGCTAATAATTCTCAATTGATGCTTTCGCAAGTGCTTTTTAGTCTACCAAAGGGTTTGCATGGGCCTCGAGATAAGGCTTGATGATTTTCACGTGTTACTTTCAACTGGCTGAATTTCGCGAGTGACTTTTCCGGGACAAAGAAATACGCGAACCGAATAAACGACACGGCAACTAGACGTTCCGTCGCCAACCGCCGTCGTATTAACTTCGGTCAACGGCTTGAAGTCTGCTTCGACTCGAATTTCCACACGATACCTCTGACATAGGCGTAGTTACACTAGGGCCACCTGAACTGATATTTACTATTATTAATTTTCTACAAGACAGTGATCTAACCTCAAACAGCTGATTTGATTATACGTTGTCACTACAAATAATTGTCAAGACATTCCTTTGTGTTGATTATGATTGCAGTGATATAAAAATTAATATTTTGTATCTTTTATGACGTGACACAAAATTGATAGACTTTTCGTTGGTATTTGAGTTGTTTGTCTGTTGAGTGAAGAATATTGAAGGCTACGCTGTTGAGACAACCCCACGTTGTGACAAGTTCAGACGATTCTGTCAAGTGGCGTCCATGAGGATTTATCAGCAAATGTTAAGGGTGGATTGTGTGATTAATATTATTGAAAAGGACAATGAGTCTGCCGAGTGTCAGTGATTATTCCATACTGGAAAAAATTGGATCGGGAAGCTACGCTACTGTCTATAAGGCTTTTAAAAAGGTCGGTACCTTCTTAGGTTGTTTTCAGAGGATCGAATCATCTGGTCCCAGGGACGTAAAGAGTAATTCTAGTCACCCCGGTTATATCGTGTCGGTTTAATGCAACGGGAAATTATGAATAATAATTTTATATAATGTACAAAATTGTAAATATTTGAGAAACATATATCGTCTGTTAATTATGTGTCTATAGGATTTTTTTCCAATAAATAAAATAATTCCATCATCTCTATTTAAGAATTTTTAAATAAAGTATCAAGTTGTATGTTTTCCCCGTGCAATTTTATAGTGCAATTTTCTTTCATTCTAAAATTCTACACGACATTTATGAAATGCTATCCCATTGTTCCTTATATATTTAGAATGGATCCAAAGAAGTCGTCGCTATAAAATGCGTGGACAAGTCGACACTTTCGAAATCGGCCATTGACAATCTCATTACCGAGATAAATCTTCTCAAGATTCTCAAGCATCGTCACATCGTCGAGATGAGAGATTTCTTTTGGGACGACGGGTTCGTTTTAGTAGCTTCGTAATGAAATACAAAAATTTAATTCAACCGAATGATTTTTTGTTTAAATAATTTTCCACGCCCTGGCATTCAGGCATATTTACATTGTCATGGAATATTGCGACGGGGGAGACTTGTCGAGCTTCATAAAACGGAAGCACAAACTGCCAGAGAACGTTTGCCGCAAATTCTTGCAGCAATTGGCACTTGCACTGAGGTATTTGCGAAGTCACGAAGTCTGCCATATGGATCTAAAACCGCAAAATCTTCTTTTAACGAAAAAGCCACAATTAACACTCAAGGTTGGAGGTTCGTTAATAGTTATAACTTAGCGTGCCAATTTTTCAAAATACCGTCTAATTCGATTTTCCCAAACCTAAAAAACCCATGATAGCAAAGAAATACAACATGGCCACTGTCAATTTCAGATTTTGGTTTCGCTCAGTATCTCTCCTCACAAGAAAAAAAATTCACAATTCGTGGCTCGCCGCTTTACATGGCGCCGGAAATGTTGCTCCAACATAAGTACGACGCCCGCGTCGATCTCTGGAGCGTCGGCGTCATCATGTACGAATGTCTCTTCGGCAAAGCTCCATATTCCAGCAGCAGCTTTCAGGAACTGGCAGAGAAGATCAAAGATCAAAGACCAATAGAGGTGATCAGTTTTTATTTGTAATAATCTAAAACCTACTTTCAAATTGATCGCACGCATGCGCAACTTAATTAAACTGATTACCAACCTTTTCCACATTTCTAACCATTTCCGGTCAAAGCAGTTACCAAAAGGTTGCCATGTATCAAGTGAATGTAAGGCTCTGCTGATGTCGCTTCTTAAGCACAATCCTAACGAGAGGATAACCTTCGAAGAATTTTTCTCTCATGACTTTCTGGACCTGGTCCACGCACCCACCCAGGACAACTACGACAAGGCTGTAGCCCTTGTTCAACGTGCCGTGAAGCTGGATACTGAAAAGAATCATCGCGAAGCCTTTCATCTTTACTGCGACGCCCTACGATACTTCATACCTCTTCTTATCAGTAGGACAATAATTATACGAGAATTCTTCTCTCATCTTACCATTTTCTTCTTGTGGTGGCAGCACTAGTCGCCATATTGAAAAACGCTTGGCCAATCAGTTCTGTATATTTCGCATAGATGAACCTGATCCCCAGAGGAAAAAAGCTCTAAGGTTACGTGTCAACGATTACATTAAGCGTGCCGAGAGACTGAAGCAGGTATGCTACGAAGACGGCACTGAGAAGACAGGATCATCGGCTACCTCGGATGGCAAAACAGAGCGCCCGTTGAATAAATCAGGATCGTTGGATCGGAACGCCCATAATGATTTACGTTGGTACCTTGATTAAAAAAAAAAGAGTTAGAGATACAAAAAGAATATTAAATGATCTACATAAGGGTGTTGGGGTGAAGGAAAATTGGGGTGAAAATGAGTGAATTGTATGTGTTTAGAAAATTTCTTATTTTCCTTCATGGAAATCTCCCATCGCGCACATGCCGACACCCTCTTTCTACCCTTAGTCATCCTTTTGATCTCAAGTAAAGTCAAAAGTCAGGGTGCAATGTCTTTAGTAAATTTTTGGCATTTTCCTCGGTATAAAATATTATTGTTTAACTTTGGGAATACGTTGCTGTAACGTTATGCAGACGTCACGTGACGGCAGAATTTATTATAGTAATTTTTAAGCTTTTTCCATCATTCTTCCTTTTATCGTATCCTTTGTGCTCCTTTTATTCCTAATTAATTGATTTCTCGCCTTATTTATTTTTTTTCTACGCTTCTATCAATAGGTGTCCTCAGTAGAAGCACTACGGGAATGAAGGACGCTTTAGAAATAGGAGAGGTCGGCGAGCTCTATCTTGCCGAAGGTAACTACGCTCTTGCCCTAGAGAAATTTCAATCATCCCTTAGCGTTTTGGTGCCACTTCTGGGAAAGGAGCCACCTGGTCACAGACGAGAACTTTTACTTAAACAGGTAAAACGATTAATTTACATTTCTTGTGTATGATTCTGATGGACATATGACGTCATCGAGAAATTAACATAGTGGCCATTTTGTCTAACTCCTTTTAGCTTCCAAAATGGAATCTTTCCCGAGGAATGCTACGAGACTATTTTCCACCATTTTACTTAGCGACGCTTCGTTTTATAGATTTTATAACTTTTTTTGAGACTTACATTGTAACTTTTTTTGTAAACTTTGTATTTAATAATTTCACGAGCATCACTCACTTGTCACGAATTAGATGTATCGATACTGTCTGCGTTGTTACCATGGATACCGTGTCAGGCGTCTGTTCAAATATTTACGTTAAATGTTTACCCCCCGTAAATGCAATAGAGGAGGGTAATTGCGAAATCCTGAATTTGCATAGCGAACAACAGTCACTGTTTTAAATAACCGATTTTCAAAATGCAGATCCAACTGTGGATGAAGATGGCCGAGAGTACGAAGGGACTTCTTGCCACTATGGATATAGAGGATACGCAACAGGGCAGTGCAGAATCGCAGGAACAATGTACTATACAATAGAAACAATTTTAATTTATTAATTAAAGCTTATTTATTAATTACCATCACGAGTACCATTCAGGATTGTCTTTCAAAGTCTTTTTTTGAAAACACTATAAATAATTACAATGCTGATGCATAACGGTATAATGATTTTATTTGAAACACTTGTACGCGAATTTTTGTAGATAATAAAGGATCACGGGATATAAATAAATTATACAAGTTTTCAGATTTTACTTGTTTAACGGATCGTTCGATGATGCTTTTATTATCTTAAGCTTCAAGAGGAGAGACGGTTTCACTGTAAATTGACAAATCTGGGCTCGATACAATTTTCGAAGATAACTATTGACACTTAGAGCCAACAGTAAGTATGGGGTTGTTCGTGAAATTCTTTTTGTTAGAAACACGGAGACATTCTTGCACTTTCCTAGTTTCTCGTGATGTCGGTAATGACAGAATTCGAACTTTGCCTTAGTTACCGACAGAGTTCAGTTCTTCGATGTACGTCGCAATAAGCTAAGGAATTGTATAGAAGTTTATGGTTGGCCATGAGTAAAGCTATGCTATACTACTAAGATAGTTGATATATTGTATATGTATATATATATAATTCTTACACATCGCCACCTATGACCTATATGTGCTACATGATTGTTACATAGCGGTGGCATATACACATATATACACGTTCTGGAATTTCATAAATGACGTTCTAACGTGAATTCCAATAAAAACAAGAAAACAGATACAACCACCCCCTATGTTTTCCAGCAATAACACCGTACTGTATTGTTGAGGGTTATCAAGTATAAATACAGGCAAATTTACAATATTTGTATAAAGAATGTAAATAAGTAAGGAATACGTATTAACAAAGAAAATAAGTCAAGTGGCGTGCTTTTGTCCCGACGCCATTTTGTTTCACCTCATAAGTCTCAAAAGGCCAAGGTACAATCAAGATTAGGTTAAAGTTCTAAAGTCTTCATTAAAGTTGCCACCAGGAATCAGTACAAGCTAATTATTTAATAAAAATAAATCGTTATTAATTACCACGAGCAAAGAAATACACGGGGAGATAAACAAAAATATTGTAGAAATATACATACAGCTTCACCGGAAGCAGCCATCGAGCTCATCGAGAGCTAAAAGTATAACCGTAAGACTTCCGGTAAGATCATACACGACCCAACGGTCATAATTGTGTTGTCAACGTCATGGAAATTTCCATTCGGAAATACTTCCCCCACTACCGTAGTTTTACCCCCCACCAATGACAAATTCTCTACCCCCACCATCGTCGTCTCCTGGTACCGGATGTGCGGCAACGTCGCAACCGTTAAGTACATAAGGGCGAGTGGCCCGGGATAGTGGGGATGCGAAAGAAGTGGCAACGTTCCACATTCAAATCTGGCAGATCCCGTCGGCCCTCGGCTGCCGCCTCTTTGCAACGAGCAAAGCAAACTGAACGCGCGCACGTTTATTCTATCAAGCCAGTTGCGTGACCGGCACGCCGCGTTGTTGTTGTCTGTTTTCCTAGTTTAAAAGTTTACGCGATCGGTGTTGTTTACTTACCTTTGCTCGCTTCATCTATTTCTCACGCCACTCAGCTCCGCTCACGAATCTACACATTTTTTTCGTTGGATTCTTTTTCGCATTTCGTACGCGCCCATACGAAAGACACGCGTTTCCTCGTAAATGTCAAGCAGACGTAGGCGCAGGGACCTACCGTGGAGGATCTACAAGAGATTCTCATCAGTGCTGGTGAATTATGTGCATGGACATTCGTTCTGTCGAGATGGAAGAACAGCAGAACTCTGATGAAGACGTACAGATAGTCGAGGCCCACGTTGTCAGAGGTGAGTTTTTGAGGTTAGGTACGTTCGAACAAACTCGCGCCTAGCGGCTATAGTTCCTCGTGAGAGTAACTTGCTCTCCTCCCCACCACCGATTGCCACGACAGTTCCCTCTCTCGGTGCTGGGCTTGCACTAAGGTTTCAGAAAAGCCCGGTGGTCACTTCTTTTTATTACCGCGGATCTTTTTTTCTTTTCGTTCGTGTCACTTTTTCACCATCGTCGCCTCGCTTTCCCGCTCTTTTTTTTCTCTCTACCTTGTCGATTTCCCACAACCTACTTAGTTGTGTTGTGCTTTTTTTTTTAACGCGATGTTTTTTTTTCATTGTTTTTTTTTCTTTTCGCCCGCTGTGTGTACCTTCGCTTGTTTTGGACATTTCTTTCTTTCTTTTTTTTTGTTTCTAAATTCTTAGACACGGCGATGGTCGAGCTTCATGTTGACGCGTGGTTAAGGTTCTTGATTAAATATTTTTGTACGGCGTTCACGACGCGCAGTCGCGTCGTTCGAACACGCTTGAGATTTCGCGGGCTAGATATCACGTGTAACTGATATTGACATTTTTTTTTTCTAAATTGAAATTGTATATTATATTATATTTATTATTACGCACTAGCAACGCTGTCAATTTACAATCTGCTTATCAGTTATTAAGAAAAATACAATCGACACTACAATCCACAAAATAATTTTGTATTTATATTTCTTTAATAACAAATTTCAACTAGACTGTCAATTATCTTCAATTAAAACAATTTAAAAAAATACTTTGTCGCTCCTAATCAGCAAAATTACCCATTAACTTCCTACGATCGTGTAATGTCGTACACTCGAGCGATTAAGAAATTTTAAAAAGAACGAAACCGTCACGTGGGTCACCCGTTACTTAGCATCGTGTATAATGGACATTCATTCAGTTATTTCGACAGCTCGATAATACATTGTTCTCATCGAACGTAGAAATGATAAATTAAATATCGTCCACGCCCGAAAGCGTATACCACCCCGCGTCTCCCCCTACAACCCTTATACACACGTATATATAAATTCTCTATATACTCAGCTGTATTTATATTATAATCCCAAGTACATAAGCTGGGGTGGCCACCCAAAATAGTCCCCACGTCCCCGTTCTTCGAAGACCCAAAAGATCATGATGTGCCTCCGTCCTGCGATCAACAATACGAACGGTGGTCGCAAAAAATCAAAATTTTTAGACTCGCCATTTTTTTCAACTATCGGATGACGTAATTCTCACGTCTTATCACGCAATCGACAACAATCTTTTACGCAGAGCACACGCGTTCCACGTAATCAGGATGTCTAGATATTTTATTATATATATTATACAGTGCATTGGCATTCGATTAATTTTACTGTATTTTTTTTTATTTTTTTAAATCTAAATTACGTCATGTCTGTTAACAAGGCACCACGTGCATTTCTGCATTCCCGGCTGACGAGCGGTCGGCATATATACCCAGTGACACTTGCCTTGTTTGTACAACTTGACGTTGGTAGTCTTTTTTTTTTAATTGTTATAATTAACTTCTTTTTTTTTTCAAAAATTTAATTTTCACAAAAATTACCTCTATCGAAATACAATGATATTGGATAGTTGACATTGTATGCATTGTTGTACATTCATAAAATAAATGTAATGCCTTTTTTTTTGCAACTCGAAGGTTCTCTGTTAAGATAGTGTGTTCATGCTACACTTCCATACCGATATTCAAGTCCATATCGCATGATAGCGATGTCGACTCTTGTGGAGCCTCGGACATCCTTTTTTTAAATTTATTATTTGCTTTTTGTTCAACTGTTCGTAATCTTCCTTTGTCCTGACTTACGGTTGGATACATTTCTATATGTGTCATATGAGATCCTGTATATATGAACTATGTATATATCCTGTATATATATGTACCTTCTTTCATATATATCCTCACTATCCTAAGATGTATCTCGGGTTTGATATCAGCATATACCTTGTTTACAGTGGTCGCAGGTTCCCTTGTATATTCTTTCATATAATAAATGACGTCTGAGTTCAGCGACGTAAATAAAGGTTTCCAAGAAAACTTTTACAATGAAAACTTAATGAAAAAGATGAAACAATAGAGTGAAATAGATTTAGGAAGAAAAAAAGAAAAAGAAATTCTATAGAGGGTACCAGGGTTCCAGCTATTTCTAAATTACGTTTGAATTAAACGGTATTTAGCGGGGGTGGGTGGGGGG